TAAGTAGTGTTGTTATTGTCATCATGTTCTTAGCCGTAACCTTCCTCATAACAAATAGCAATATTGTGAAGAACATTGTAGTGTGAATGTGTACAACACATATAAACAAATATTTGAGTAGAGGCAGGGGGAAAACAAAACCATTTATATGCACTCTGTTCCCATCTATTCTCTACCTGATGCTTTTAAATTTGCCCTTCTTTCTTGATAAGAGGCTTAACCACATGAAGTCACACAGTGACTGTAGCTCTTCTTGTTAAGATTAATGACGCTGAAGCATATTTTAAAAACATTTATTTATTAAAGCTCAGATTTCAAGTAGAACATCTAAAATAGCTTTAGAAATAGAAATCAGGTAAATATAATTTTAAAAGATTTTTTTCTACCCATATAGCTAACTAGTTAAAATTATGACAAATGTAGAATAGAATAATTTTATAGTACAATTCCCTAAAATATTTCCGTTTACTGGCCTATATTGACTAAGTAAATCAAGCAGGAGAGTTCTCCTGCCGTTCTTTTATATTCCACATCATTCTTGTCTGATTTTGCTCAGCTGGTTCTTATGAGCAAATTTCTAAACCATACTTAAACTAAATTGCAATGATAATATTTTTAATCTAAAAAATTATTACCATTTGAAAATGCCTCTGTTTTAGTAAAGGTTTATTTTGTTGGTGAAATGTCAAAGTAATAAGCTATATAAAACTTTAAGTGAATTGTTCAAAAATATTATTGGATTATCTTTCTATTGTATGGAGCATTAGATTCTATTGCCCAGGTAAGGTATTAAAAAAAAATTTTTTTGCACTTCTATGTAAATTAAGAGAAATAATGGAGCCATAAAATGGCAACATATTTAGGGTTAGCCTAAAATTGGGCATTGTCATAGGTTTCAGAGAAGATATAAACTAGTAAACCTACAGCCTAATTCTTTGGACTGGTCCTTTCCAGCAGTTCCTTTTCAGTCTTTGTAAACAGGAAGACAGCCCATGGAAGACCATCAGGGTTTCCTTGGAAATGTTTTTAATTCTTATTATTCTATTGAGATGTTAAGTAAAAAAATCAAAAATAAAAAAAAAAAAAACTCCAAAGCCAAATGTAGTATCTTTTGGGTTAATCTGTTTTTTTCATCATGTGTGCTACCAGTCTGTGCATTAACATGATGTTCTAGTATACGTTGCATTAAAAAAAAAAAAAAAGCTCAGGATGAGCTATTCTGTTGTTATTTATTCCTAAAATTTTAAGGACATTTTGCAGTCCCTCAAACTGGTTAGTTTAATTTTATTTCCCAGTTCTTCATTGAAGTTGGTAGGTATGGTGAAAATGCATTTAAGGCTCATGGTGATAGATGTTCCGATCTTTGATCCCTTGAACTGAAGTTTAGTCTGAGTGATAACTACATGTTTCAAATGCTGTTACAATGAATATCAAAATGTGGTGTATTAGAAACAAAGGGGTATTTTAAAGGTGGATATTTGAAAATCCTTTAGTTTTAATGTATATGTATATTGAATAATAATCTCTAAAATAAATGTGAAACTCACCAGGACTGCAGTGCAGTGATGAGCGTTGGGTGTATCTCCTTTTCTACCCTAGCTGTGTCCCATATACTCGTAAATGTAGTACTTTCAAGTCCACTTGCTGTTTACCGCACCTAACCTAACTTCCTATAGAAGGCTTGTCTAGAGTATTATATGTATTTTTACCTTTGCAGTGAATTGCATGTACTAAATGTAACCACAGCTATTATTTTTATGTTGACATAACTCTAAATGTTATCGTAAATATTCTCTCATATATCAGGTCTAATCCTTTAAATTTAAGAAATAAATTCTTATTCAAATTTTTTGTGTGTAATCCTGCCATTTCGCTGTCACTAATGTTTGCGGTAACAGAATTTATCATTACTAGTCATACAGGGTCAGGTTGGCATAATGGAATAAGATTTAGGAAGAAACATTGATACACTATCTTGGCCTTAATCACATAGCACAGACTCTGAAATGGCAGTTCTTTTGCCAGTTTTCCAGATTTACTAGATGAGTTCTGGAGTCCCAGACATCTTCCTCCCGGGTGGATTTTTTCCCTACTAGTTGCCGAGGCACCAAGTTCCGAGGTGCTGCGCCATCTTGTGGCCTGTGTGTGCGCAGACTCTGCCGGCATCTCTGTTCCTGTCACAGTGAGACAAGAAGCTAATTGACACAGCATCCCACTGCTGCCCGCTGAGTTTACGAGTAATCGTGTATGAAATTAACTTAGTTAACAATTCCACTTGGGAGAAGGAAGATCTGAGTTATTGCATACCTTCACATTGTAATTTTATCTAAAATATGCAGTGAGTCAAAAAAAGAATCCGCACACCAGCCAACAAGTAAACTTCATCCCATCACATATATAGTAGAGGTTATAGAAATGGTATCTTGGCTTTGGGCTATGTATTCTTATGTTAAAAATTTTACACTTGGCTATGGTTCTTCTAAGCTCAGCCTGACTTTCTTAAAGCATGGTACCTCTTGTCTTATACCTAGTATGTTTGATGAATTCAAGCCATCCTGCTTCCAAAAAGATTACATAACTCCCTTAGAGCATTCTGTTTCCCTAGTCCAGAGTGAGGGAAACAATTTCCTTATTCAAGATTGCTTAACTTTCAGTTTAAGCTCTTTTCTTTTTAAAGTTATATAAAACATTCCTCCCACACTTTGAAAATATAAATGCCAAACATAGTATTGTGTAACAAATAAGGAGCACTGGTGCACAGTGGTTAGCATTCAGCTTAACCATTTAAGTCGCATGCTTTGGCTAGTTAATGGAGAGAACTGGGAAAGTAGAAGAAAGGAGAGTTGAGGTAGACAAAAGAACATCTGGTGAGACAAAGGGAAGCTCCCACAGCTCTGAAGCAAGGTAATAGCTCATGTCCCTGCTGCCGCTCATTGAGGTTGGCTCCTGGCCCCTCTTCATAGAAAGGCTACTTGGTTTCTCAACAGCTTAAGCAGTTCTATCTCTCAATTGAGGAAAAATTTCACCCACATTTACATTCAAAGTTCAACCATGTATTTCTAATTTATAGTTATTTTCTCCCAACTGCTAAAGGTTTTAAACAGATATGAAGGCACAGGTTAGTTTTAGAAATCTGTGAACATTCAAAACCTAATTCATCTTTATTCCCTATGTCGTTTTACATATCAGAAAGGTATAACTGGAATGCCATTTATCATTCTGAAACATTTTTTATTGAGAATTATTTTCCACTTAAATGGCTTTTTAATTATACATTTGTGCATTTGTACGAAATTGGAATCTTTCTGGAATAACATTGTGAGATACATAGTGGGAATCTTCACACAAAAATAAAAGTGGGGAAGAAAAGGGTGTTGGGTGATCTTTTCAGGACAGAATAGCTAGAGTAACTGAGCAGGCAGAAATGGTTTATCCCCCAGAGCACTTGTCCAAACAGTGAGTAAGATCCACCTGTTGACTAGAAGTCTCACATCTTACACTCTTCTTTTACTACCAGGACCAGAAGATAACTAGTAAGTACACATCTGGGTCCCATCCTTGTAGGAAACTGCTTTCCCGGTAGTTCGGCCATAGGCAGAAGAAGCTTGTTGACTAGTGATTGCTTTCAAATTAATAGAAATTTCTGTACTCTGGAATTGGTTCTATAAGCTACCATGAGGGGGAGCTCATGCTTTTAATTGTACAGCTGAAAGAGAATATTTAAATGAAAAGGAACTCAAAGGCGCTGAGATTCTGATAATAGAAAACGTAATTCTGCACAAGCATTCGAAGAACGAAAAGGCAGCCCCAGGTCAAAGTGTGGATTTGCTTATTTTCACTCTAGCCCTATAAACACCAGAGCTACCTGGCCAGCATCAGAGCCTAGGAAAAAACCTCTGAAAGAATCCAAGTTCCACGTTTAGAGTTGTGACTAGAAATTGCTACCCAAGGAAAATCAAGACCAAAGTGGGGTGCTCAATAAAAGATGGCAGTCCTGAGGCTGCTTATGTTGCCGGTATGAGGAGCAGCAGTTCCCTACTTGTCTAAGTCTAGTCCTCGTCAAGTTAAATGAGCAGACATTTCTGATCATCTCCTAGGGGCCACATGCC